ACATTTTATTCGGACAAATAGTTTTTGTGAAAAAAATATTGGTATTTCGGTACTAAGGTGAATAGATAGGTTATGAATTTTAAAAATGAAATTTAAACTTCGTTTTGAAAGATAGTTTAATGCCCTGATGATCGCGACTGGTAACAACTGAAGCAGAAGACTGGGTGTCACCTTGGTATGCGATCTCAGTGTGCCTTTGTGTGCTCTCAGTGATTTTAGATATAGAGTTTGGAACTGAATTATATGAGAATGTCTTTATTAGATTAAACGCTGCACAATTTTCTTTCGCTTTTGGCAAGTTAACATGAAGTGCAGGACAAGGGTTTTTGATGAATCAGATTGTATCAACGGACATTTCCGGGATGATGAATCTTTGTATCCTTTCCTTGGTAAAAAAAAGTTTTGGCCTAATTACGATGACGGGTGATTGATGACTTTTAAATAGAAATTAGTAATAACGGTAAAGTAGAGTCAAATCACGTGGAATATAATCAGTAAATAGTGTATTTGATAACTTTTCAATCAATGCTTGAAATATTCAAGCCGTGAAAGCGGTACATTTTTGTCCAATATATATAAAAAGTTGGCGAGATGAAATTAAAAAATTGTGAGATATCTGGAACTCAAAATCCTAGAGCAAAATTTCAGAATCAGTTTACATCGAATTCATGAATTTTATATTTAATACCAGGTACACCGTCGGCAAACATTTGTAATAGGTTACAAGTGAGTGACTGCACAATTATATAGGATAAAATTTCTGCCGCATTCAAGCAAATTTAGCTTGATTGACGCTCAGCGTGAATCCCGACAGTTCTATATTGTTTTGATAGCATGAATCAACAAACATCACTAAATACTTAATCCCTTAACAATGCAACCGGGCAAGATGCAAAAAAGTTATTACTGTTGGTAAATCATACATTCCTTCTTTATTTATTATCATAATATGAATTAGATTCCCACCATCTTGTCACTCTCTTTCGTATTCAACTAGGGCCGGACCGGAAACTAGCCGACGGAAAGAAAAATATATAAAACAATGCCTTTGAATTATGACGTAATTTCATTGTTACATCGACATGTCTTGACATCGTCGGATTCTTTTTGTTGAGTGGCATTCTCTCTCATTGTTGTTTGGGTATAACTAGTCAGGTATGAAACAGATATGATATTTTTTACTAAACTAAAATCAAACTTGATGAGAAAAATACGCTCGTGTAAGAATTTTCACATAGACTATCGATTACAGAATTTTGTCTAGTCTTAGAATAGATTTGAGATATATTCGTGGCGACTTCGTAAGAATAATGCAGATTTTACAGACGCTGGCTGAGGTAGGGGGGTAACAAGTTAGATCCAATTAATCGCCAATTAATTATCCAATTAATTGTAGGAGAGTTTATTGAATTCTCGTATATATTAGTTTAGTGATCATGTCCATACATAAAAAAAGAATATTCCTACTCAATATGTAAAGTTCGTAGTGATGCTGAAATTGTTACAAGTTTAGATTGAAATAGAACAAGGATGGGTATATTGAACAGCTGGCACTATCACATATTATTAAGTATTATATTGTCATCAAAATTCGTCAAGGATAGAAATTTAAACGAATTCAATAAAATGGATTTTTTTCGATAGATTGGAGATTTTTCACGGAATTATTGGTTGTAAATATTCATCTTATGCACGTCAAAATTGATAATTTTTTTTAGCATCTAATAAAAGGAAATTTGAACTCAATGAAAATTTACGCGGGCGACATATATTACAAACGATTTATATAAAAATCGTGCTCCGTCAAAAAACACTCCAAAATCCAAATTCAAAACAAAATGGCGTCGTGAATGTGGTATCAAAAATTTGCATTAGTTGTTTTGATCGAATCCTTGGAGTATGTTTTGTATTTCTTTAATGTTGCATACATGTTAGATTAATGAATATGAGTAATGTTGAATATACTCTATGATTTATGCTTATGACACAAAATCTAATTGCGCCCACAATGTATTGAAAATGAACGGTTTGGGTGAGATTCGAATTCCACACTATTACGTGTAAATTTGGATCAATAGCCTTAACCAGCAAAAAATAGACTTGGCTATTTTTGGAGTTTGGTGACTGTATAAGTTGCTTGACCATGTGAAAGGCAGCCAATGAACCCTTTTTTTAATTCGTATAATTCATTTGCTGGCGAGGGAAAATTAGGTAATTGTCAACGGTGTTTCATTTCCTCTCCTTTACGGCGCGATATCAAATCTATCTTAATATAAAAAAAAAATTATGTTACACGTATTCCACTGGGCCTTTTATATAAAAACTTGATTTAATGGAGTATTAAGTAAGAAGCGATATTGTAAAGTGGTTTGAAAACTTTTGAACGACGGGAAATGCGTGCGAGATGCAGGTATACGGCAAGCGGAAATTGTATAGTATGTTAATTGAAATAGTAAAAGACATAATTATCGGAATTGTTTATTAAGTTTATTAAAGTGAAAACTACGGTTAATAAGTTGGAACTGTAAACGCAACGGTAAGCTTCCTTCCTGCAACGGTGTCGTTAAAAGTTTGATCGTAGGTAGAATATATATATTATATTGTTGGCACATTTTAATAATATTTTTATATAATTAAAAATGGTGATTTTTGGAAAAAAGCTGTTCGAAAATGAAGTGTATTTTTAATAACATTTCAGGGTATATGAAACTATATCTCGCGTTCGATGTCAACCAAGTGTGATGGCAGATCGGGTGTTCCGCCGAAGCGCGATTTATACATCACTCACACTTGGTCGTAAATTAATCTAGTAGTGATGTCTAGATCGCAGTAAAATTACTGCGTTTTTTCTATTAAGGCAAGATGGCGACAATTCATCTTGCTAAAGTTACTCGTTCGCAGTTAGGACACGCGCGGAAATCGTTGCCACAGAAATTAATTTATTACTTCGACTGGTTGTCGTCAAATCCCGATCATTCTCATTGAAGTATAGAAATTAGACGTTAATCATCACGATGAAATGAAAGCACAGTGGTTTGTGTTACAACACTCTGATTATCTTTCCCCAGTGCGTGCCTGTAGTCCAGGAAACATTTAATAAATTGCATTCTAGTGATATATTAGTGTTTGATGTATAAACGGCCGGGTTTGTATTACTGAGAAATTTTAATCGGTTAAATGTGTTTTGTGCTTAGTTGATATTTAACTTTGTTTATTACGGGAAAGTAGTTAATCACATGAGGTTGCGTGACCTTTCCTTTGCAAACACAATTTCGGGAAGATTTGAACCAAATGTTTAACAACCTAATGATAGAATAACGAACTAGAAACGTTATATTTTCTTAGCAAAGCAGAGAACGTGACTCGGGTATGCGGGTATAACGTCCAATAGTGTTAATTTAAAATTACATATAATTCAAAATCCATATTGAATTTATACCCATAGAATCATACTTAGTTTCAAATTTGTGACTTCGGGATATATAATATATTATATTATTGCCAATTAGTCTCGCTTCTTTTTTGTGCCGCATTAGGACGCATATATTTCAAGATTGAATCGAGGCTATTTTTCATTTAATTTACTCTCCTTTACGGCGCGGTATCAAATCTATTAATGTTATTTGAGATGTTTTGCGACGCCAACAAAATTAGGTATAACACATTAACCGCCAGGCCATCGGAGTCGCCCGAAAGGAATCATCGAATACAAAATAAACCAGTTTTACTTCAAATGCAATTTAACGTAATTTTCGCTTCAGTAAATCAGGAAAACGGTGCATTGTAAAATTGTTAATTTTTATTAATATGCTCCAATTAAATTCTTGAGGGACGTAAGCCTCGTCGCGATCGCCCTTGAGGTTGTGATACTGGATGATTTGATTTAAAAGCTGTATTTAGATACGTGTCAAATTTCTAAATTAGAATGATACGACCGTAAGGTATAAAGTTTTTCTTAATGCGGAGAGAAAAAAAGGTCAGGCAAAAGAGCAATGCAATTGCGGCATGTCTATAAATGATATGTGCATTTATGCTTGAATAAGTATGGTATATATGGGGCACCTGTAATTTCATATAAAAAGTATCAAAAGATGCAATATGTTGTTTGTTATAAGTTTTTGAGTTATCATTACATCGCGAAAAATGATCAGGTCAGATAATATGCATCATGTATTTGCCATGTTTGATAGATTATGATATTTTTTGTTGGGAAAGGAAGATCGAAATTATGATTTATGAACAAGAGGATCGATTGACTGTAAAATGCAGGTTAAAATTACGCATGTTTTCAATTTTGTAGCATAAAATATTATCTCTCCTAATTAGAGGTTTAGAAAAACGAGAGAACATGGCGACAAAAATGATCCTATTGCAATATGGCTTGCTACATATCCGGAAAGGTTTAGGGAAGGTAAAAATGCGCGGCTTTATATTTCTTGTCATTGCTTTTCGCCGAAATCATTTGGAAAAGATCTGATAAGGTGCGTTTAGAATAAGAATTTCTAGTTTCGATTTGACAAGGAAAAATAATAAAAATTTGAAGACTTTGAAAGGGTAGCAAGTTGCATTATTGTTTGCAAATTTCCAAGTAAAAGATCGCAAAATGTAAATTATTGTGCGAAAATTGAGACCATCGTTACAAGATATATCCTATGACTGGCAGGTTAGACACGTATAGCATGTTTTTGATTTTCAAAATAAAGTTAATGCTTCCGCACATCAATTCTGCAACAATTCAACAAATCTACATGTACGCGTAAAAACATTTAACCTCGTAACTACGCCTGTTCGAGAAATGTCATCCCGTAGCCTAAGCTCATGGTAGGAAAGACAAATTAGTAAATAATGTATGATGTGGATTATATTGAATTTAGTGAGTATTTGACATCAGTATTTAGTTAGATGATAAATGAACAATCATATATTTTTATATAATTAGATCGATTCTTGACCATACATTATCAATCCAGCAAGAAATAAATCAAATTTATTTTTTGTAGATTTATAACAAATAAGCTGTTATAAAAGCTAATTTTAAAAGCGGTAAAAGTGCAATGTCGGTTACCGCTATTCAAGAGCATGGGCAACATGGACGAATTCTGGACGCTTTCGCACCGTTTCCGAGTGCCATATCTCACCCAGAAACAATTTGCGCAAATGCGATGTCTCCACCAAAAGATTCTGAAATTCAAGTCGACGAAAATAATAACGAAGTAGTGGCATCTCCACCCAATGAACATCCTCCTCCAGATTGGAGCGAAGACTCTGGTAGTTGTTCTATGAAAGATGACGAACACTCAACACACGAGGAAGACAGTGTTTGCAGAGAGAGGAATTGCTCCGGAGCGCATTCAGACTCCATCGATGTCGAAATATCCGATGAAGGATCAACGAATCAGGATGATGACGGCAATCTCATTATTTGCGAAGAAAATGAAGAAATGAAGGAGAAGGATCAAATTGAAGTAAAGAATGATCCGAAAAGGAAAAGATTCGAAAGCGAGAATTTCGCAATGAAATCCGAATTTTCTGAAAATATTGCAGGTATGTGGCATTATTGATCGAGAATTTTCATATTCATATCGGAGTAACTTACTTTACACGATTTCGAAAAAATATTCAATTGTTTTCAACACTATTCTATTCATTTTTTTATCTACCATAAAACATTTCAAAATATTTGCCGATTTGTTTGGTATCATATATCATGAATTATCATATTTAACGCGAGGTAACCTATTTCATTAAACATCTGTGAAATCGTTTAAATTTGCGTGGCATAAAACATTTAAAAATTATGTTGTGTCTATATTATTTCAGATCGCCGCTCATCAAGCGAGTATTTTTCGCCTGCGAATTCACCGCAGCAGAGCACGACTGTTAGACTGGATGGATTCTCTCATTATTTTGCTCATAATCTTCACACAATGCATCGTCGTGACCTGTTTTGTGACGTCACTATCAAGGCTCACGATTCCGTGTGTATTTCCCACTGTGACGATATATAACTTTTTAGATTTTTAGAAAAGGTTTTGGAACGAAAAAAATAAGATCGCATTTATTGATAAAAAAAAATGAAACTTTGGAAGATTCGTCTAGTAGAGCTTCAAATATCTGTACATACAGAATATATTTTGAGTCTTTTTGGGAAGGAATGCAGGTTTTATTAAAATAATAACATCGTGCTGTAAAAGTTCAAGCGATGTGCCGCCAAAAATTTAACCCACAACTTTGAATCCCGATAAAATGCAGTCCATACTTTTGCTTTAACAAATAGAAGTTTTGATATTTCTGAGATTTTTTAGGCTGAAAAAAAAAACCGACTGTCCTCAAGATATCTGTATCGTTTATCTTTCAGCTATTACACGGACATAAAGTGGTTTTGGCGGCGTGCAGTCCCTATTTCTATAATGTTCTAGAAAAGAGAAATGCATCTCCACACAGAAAGGTAAATTTAAAGTGTGAAAATATTATTCCTTTAATTTTTATATTTTTACTCTTTCTAGAATTTATAGAGTCTAACCGATTCTAGAATTTTTTTAAATTATAAATTTTATGGTATTAAACCTGGATAGTTTCAATTTTCCAGAAATTTTAAAAACATAAAATTCGAAAATACAAACTATTAAATTTGAAATTTGAGCGCCGTTAAGTATCCGAATGTCGTCAAAAATAACTGACAGTAACGATATATTATTTAAATAGTTAATGAATAATAGAGTTAAAATTTATATGATTAATTAGACTTAAATCCGCAATTCGTGAACAAGACGGGAGTTTTTTTTTTACATATTTTTCATCAATTCTTAGCTGACTGTTTCGTATTATATTTAAACCATTCGGCGTCTTATATCATTACTGGGCCATAATTAAAAATGCATTTGTTGTAAAAAAAAGGATCGACCTTAAACTTATACGAACCCATTTGACCCTCATCAGCAGTTTTAAGTATAATTTTCTTGACCCGTGTGCATTTATATAAAGTAGACTTAAATTACATTTCGATGATTTTTATTTACTTGGCCAATCATGCTTATATTGTGATTATATGTTCTTTGATCGGGCCATGTCTGGTTGTTGGCTACGATACCAATAAAATTAACGGTTGAACATCGATTCATAAATGAGAACCATACAAAGCAATCTAACTATACCTTAGTCACAAAAAGAAGACTCTTGTAGTTTGCCTTAGGGGCAGAACGAATGCAATATTTTATGTGTTTATGCTTGAAATTAAGCAAATGACACCGACACGTGGTTAATTCATGTCGTCGTGAGAATGAGCCTAGATTGAACGTAATCGCCGATAAATTAATCTTGACCCTGAGGTCAATTGTTACGTAATCTCGTTGTTTTTCTCGGTAATTTCGTAATTTTCAATAATAGGTTTTATATGATTTATGCTTTCAAACTTGATGAATCACTTACAACTATAAATCCACCTTATCTACCTCGTGTTTTAAAATAGCTTTCTACTCAATATTTTTGTATAATTGTGGGGTATAACATATGCCGCATGTATATATTTTCTTGTCAGAATGAAATTTTGACAGCTGAAATTATTGCAATTGATTAAATTGAACATCATTCAATTGAATGAACAGAAAGAATGGCCAGTAAAGTGATATAGAAGTAAAAATATGTTGGAGTGGTATGGCAATGAAAAAATTGTGAAGGGGAAAACAATTCAAACTTTAATAAATCTTGTCCGCGAAATGGAAATGCATAAGTGAATGACACAACAAACTGATATATTCGCACTTTATCTTTGTGGTACAAATACGTCGTGAAATACAAACCAAAATTTATTTATAAAAAAAAATCATAATAATATATTCTTTTCAATTTCTTTTATCAGGATCTGAACATTGGGGTGTCAACCCACAGTTTTATAGATCTTGGGAAGTCGGTTTCACCAATTGGTCTCGAGCAAATATTGGACGGCATGTATAGTTCAAGAATTTCTCTGCACAGAGATACTGTTCACGATGTATTAGAAGCAGCAACATTTCTCAACATGCAACTCGTTGTTGACGTCTGCTATAAATTTATTGATTCAGAGTAAGAGTTGTTCTTATCATGTTTTTATTTCTTTGATATATCTTCTTTATTATGTATTTTCATTTATTTTTTGTTTCATACTGTCGACTTGAATGTAGCAAAATTATTAATCCAACTTCTTTTTAAATTAATATTTATCGTCCCGTCTACGACCAGCTTGTTACGAGAGCCAAACTTATGGTTTTTTTTCAGGCAAATGAAAGCAGAGGAAAAGTTCAAAACCTCTACGAACCAAGAAAACGAACAACAGATAAGAAAAGCCGATTTTGTGGAATCACCCATTGATCTGACAGGTACAACACAAGATATTACGTCTAAAATTATTAATGGTCTCGGCAGTATCTAGATATTGTGTGTAAAGTTCCGTGTGTTAGATGTGAGATAAATGTTGTAAATCATTATGCACTGAAAGTGCAAAATGTCAGACTTGAAATAGGTAAATCACCACTGCACGAATATGTAATAATATTAATTATTGTTCCCAGTAATGTGCGATTGAAATCTTATTTTTTCTTTCAGTGCTATCACCAAAATATTAATTATGTAACCCTCCAATATGTTTTTATTCAAACCAATAGCTTTGTCAAAACGAAATCGGAGAACTTCCAATTCGGCTGATGATAAATCGGAATCCAAAAGTGATTTAGAGACAGTGGATTCAGCACATAGTTCTACAACTTACAGCAGAAATAATACGACACCCGATCCGGAAGATAGCACAATTTATCAACGAGTATCGCACAAAGTAAGTATACAAGGATTTCCTAGTGTAGTCCGATTTAACTAATTACTAGATGTTGTTGATAAAGACCAAGTGAGGGTGGTGGTATTCGACGAGCTTTCGCATGGCCTATTGTTGCTCGGCAATTAATTTTGTCTAAAAGGATCCTTTTACTGTCGGCAATTCAGGAAATTTCTAACATTTCTCATTCTGACTAAATATGATCTTTTTGTACGGCATTCAAAAAACTCGAGTCACTGGGTTCAACTCGTGTTGATGATGTTTATTGAAAATCGGGCGTAATAAGAACCATTTACGGATAAAGAAAGCGGTTGTTCTGAATTAGCATGATATTGGCGCATGCTGAATTAATGTGAGGAATTCGACAAGTATATTACAATCGCAGATATAAAAAAAACTTGGCAAAATCGAATCTACTTATTAATCGACCCTGCTCCACCTCTCAGTTAAGCTTTAATAGCACGCACTAAATATTTATATACTTATGATCAATCACATTTCTCGTGTCATCAAACGTCTGTCTCCTAAAAAACGCATTTAATAAGATATCATATGTTTTTTATCAGGATCACATTGAGCCCAAAACTGTCAATCCCAAGTCAATGAACTGGAAGAAATACAAACTAATTACCCAGAATCGATCGGAACAAAACACGCACTCTAATTACGGCATGCAGTTAAGTCCACGAAGTGATGATAAACAGACAAGAGCATTGAGTCCACGATCACCTAGACATGACATCACAGACGAAAGTGATGATGTATTCATCAAAAAAGAACCAACTCGATCCACGCGACTGAGTACAGATTCTGCCACGCATGATTTCAGAAACGCGACTTCTCGCTTGGAATCTCATTCCGGCAACCTCACAGCCGACCTCATTCGACGACATCAGAGGGACCTGTACCAGCATGTTATCTCAAACTCCCCTTACGCCTTCAGTCCTGAAACAATGGCGGCTGCAATGGCTATGACAACTTTAACATCGCCAACGCGACCTTCTACAACAAAACCTCTACCGGCACCAAGACCAGAGCGGCCACCATTTGGCATTGTAAGTTACTTTTTACCTGTAAATTACTTTATCATTTTATTACTACATTTTTTCATAAATTCTATACATATTTTCAGAGCCCTTGGCAACATTTCCTTGGACAACGTTTGCAAAATTCTGTGATGGAAAATCCTCTTCTCCGTTCGTCTTTTTCGGGCATTCATACCCATGCCGCAAAAAGCCATCATGATGTCTTGCAAGAACAGAAACAAAGACAGCAGGCGTTTTTGAACTTGGCAGGGTATGAGAAATTCTAGATATATAATATATATATACATTACTTTGTGTTTCAAAATATGGATGCATTCAATGTTTTTTTTTGTTTCTCAGAAGTGCACATCGATATGTAACTGAGCGTTTCGTCCCACAAAACGTTCCAGAATTCACTCATATAAGGGAATCTCCAGGGAAGCCGAGTGGACCCACTTACAGCCCACTGCTATTGACCAGCCTGTTGCAACAAAGCACCGATACCGCTCCACATCACGCTATGAAACGAACTTTTTCCTCTGCGTCTGGGGACAGTCACGGCGAGTTTTCTGCGCCACACGCTCCAAAACGGTAAGTGTTGTTAAGTTCTATCCTAATAAAAAACGTGATCAAAGCATTTGTGACTAACTTTCATATTATTTTCTTCGCAGTCTAACACCAGATCACCAGCCACCCTTCTTCACAGAAAATTCTCGACGGTTTGTAGTCAATACTATAAAGAGCGAGATTGCTGCAAGACAACAGAAACAGCGCAGATCAACAAGTAAATAACGTTTTGCATACCTGCCAATACATAAATATATATTAGTTTCCAAAGTTAGTGAGACAAACACGCGTTGAAAAATTCCATGCCAATGTTTAGTATAGTTTAAAATCGAGACACGTGCTTTTCAATCATCATAATAAAGTAAAATAGAAACGACGTTTTGCCGCCAATGTTTTCTTCAGTTATATGATTTTTCAAAATACCGATTTTTGCTACTAATCGACAAGATTTAGCCTAAACTATGTAGGAATGGAAAATGTCACAAATATGTAATAACAATAAATTTTAATTTTTTTACAGCAAGCAGTGCAGGATCTCCAGATCGTCCATACAAATGTCTTGTTTGCGCAGCTGAGTTCAATCGTCCCGCGAATCTGAAAACACACATGCGAATACACAGTGGAGAAAAACCATACAAATGTCAATCTTGCGGTGCTAGATTTGTTCAGGTTGCTCATCTCAGGGCGCATATACTAATACATACAGGAGAGAAGCCGTATCCGTGCAAAGTCTGTGGCACAAGGTAACCCGTCTATTCCGCACTTACTAGCAAACTAGGGCTAGCAAAACTATTAAAAACATTTACGGCAAAGCATAACGAATTTTGAAATATTACGAAATTATGATCATTCGGCATTAAATCATGTTCCAAAAATGTGGTTCTCAAACGACGGGGCGCGCCACGCAAGGGAGGCGTAGACGATTTTTGAGGGGACATGAAGCTAATTAAAAATAAAAACATTTGTTAGATTTGATCTTTCCCGCATTATTTCGTATATTTACATATCTTCATTGTTTAGAGATTGCAGAGCGCTGTTGTACTTGTATCTTTATTATCCTTAGCATGGAGCCTTAATATCTGTTATTTGTAGCTTGTTGTTATAGTTATTTTTGAGCAGGGGCGCGAGAGGTGACAAATTCTAAAAAGGGGGCGCGGCCTAAAAAGTTTGAGAACCACTGTTTTGGAATAGCTAAATTTGGTCTGAAACTTCATCTATTTTCTTAATTTATTCCAGGTTTCGACATCTCCAGACATTGAAATCTCATCTACGAATCCACACAGGAGAGAAACCGTATGCGTGTGAGGAATGTCAAGTCAGATTCAGACATAAAAGTCAACTCCGTCTTCATCTTAGAACAAAACACGGAATAAATACCAATACAAAGAAAACTTATCAGCAGGTTGGTGTTGCAATCAATTTATACAAATTGCCTGCTTATAATGACGAAGGTGCTATGCTATATAAAGCTAAGAATGGAAAATAGGTGAAATTTCAGTTGATAGTAATGCATGCTGATGAGAAGAGTCTTTCGAGCTAAAACCAAATTAACCGATGTTAAATACTAAAATACCAATACTGAAAGGATGCGACTGTATTATTTCCAGATATTACGATTACACAAAATTAGCCGATCGAAACAATGCAAAATTTTATTTCCTCATTTTCAAGTAATATTATTAATTCCCAGGTACCCGGTCTCAGAAGCGCAGATATTTCCGCCCATATTAAGAGGACCCAAGAAGCCGTGAGAATGCAAGCACACAAAAAAGAATTCTGCGAAGCATAATATATTATATATTGCCATTCCACAAGATGTTGAATTATTTCATTTATATCGAAAACCTCATAGTGTTGTATTATTATTATTGAGAACAATCAATTTTACTTGCTTGAATGTCCATATCAGCAATAATACCCGTTCGCATCTGCCAAAGTTAATTCAGGAATCATTCGCCATTTCTTACTTTTCTGTCATTGAATATGTTTGCCATGCTTATAACTTGCCAATGATAACGTGCCTTTTTGACATGTGTGATCATTTATCTATTTTATCCAATTTTAACGTTTTAGGCTTTATAAATAGTTTTTCTTCGCAATCATGTGTTTTTCGCAGGATCTTTCATTTTTTTCTTTGGTGTTGTGTCAAGATTTATGAATAAATTATACCAATGTAAGGTCTTTAGCTTTGAAGAGAAGAAAGATGCGGTTTTTTATATTTATATTCCAGTATAAGTAAAGACGATAAAACGCACATAGTTCTCTTCTTGCATAAAAATACCAGCTGAATCCATAACAAGTGGCTTCGTCAACTACCACTCGATGGCAGCTGAACGACTGTAAATATTTTCACACATAATCATCTCCCTTGGGATGCGACTAAATATGATGCGTTGGCGAGCATGTTCAAATGTCCAGAACTCTATGCGCCATCAGGCTTCAGGATTATTGCGAAATCAGTTTTATATAGGGTCAATGGAAACCATGCATCACGTTATAAAATTTAACAATATACGAATGAAAAAGAATCTTTATTTCTTCATTGATACTGTTGGACACAGTGCCCTAACCCCCCTCCCTAACGTGAATATTGTGATTAAATTTAACAAACAGTCAAATACAATCGAGTTTAGAAAGTGAAAAAAATCGAGTTTAGAAAGTGAAAAAAAAAAATCAAAGTGATGCTGTCCATTATGAAACTGCAAGTTATCACGGTCACGAGTGTAGAGTCTTGCATGCCACAAACGTAGGAAAAATCTTTAAAAAAGCACGTTGAAAGCAAATATACATATATATATACATCATGAGTGTGTATGAGCAAACAATGATACGCATTGCGGCTGAAATTTTTTGATTCGTTCAGGTCTTATAAAATTCCTTGAAAGGATTTATTCAAACCCACTACAAGCAAACATCTTTCAAAGTATGCAAACATTTAGAACAGTGCACAGTTCGATGTCGTACATAGTAGATACACACGATACGCGAAGTTTACAAAAGATATTTTTCATATCGATGTTCGTGATAATATTCACTAGGTGGCGCGCGTTATTGTCTGACGAAGCGATTTCTCAGCGCGACCGTATTTCTTCAACCTAATCTCGTACCCAATTCCACTCTACTTGTAGTAAAGACTTCAAAATGTTGGGCTCATTCTTTACTTGAGTGATGTCTTATGAGTGGTACATTAGACACAGTGAATGTTATGTAGCGTGCCCTGCAGATTTAAATATAAAATATGATCACTGAATTGTGTTTGGGTATTATTTACTCTGTTTGAATTGTGAATTGATGACGGGTGACCAAAATTTAACACTACCAAATGAAAGTTCAGAAAAATACAGCTGTTATATGTTTCACGGGTGCGTTTGTACGGTCATCATTACCAGTGTAGCGCTAAACAGCTTATTTACTTAGCTGAATTTCATATCAGACGGCATTAGGTGCTCTTTACTCGTATGCTTATTACATCAGAGTTGCAGGGTTTGTATCGTGGGCGTTACATTTTGAGATTCATCAGATACTTGCTTGACTTTGAATTAAATTATGATATCAAAATAGTTTGCCGACTCATTTACTTCCCCTCAAAATTTCGTTTCATATAACTCATTTATGATTGTTGTTATAATCCTAATTTGACAGTTTCTTGACAGTGTAAGCAAATGAATCAAGAGTGTCAATGTCCTTTAGCGGTCTTGTAAACTGGCCTACGCAAAACAATTATTAATCCAGTCACGAGTCATTTTTCAATGTTGTTCAAATTTACGTTAGTGCTGGCGCTGATCGTTAAAAATAAAATTTATCCTCGGCCTATGTAAATTTGTGTAACTACCATGAGTCAAACCTCGGAAAATAATAGTGGCCTTCCCTATCTTATTTTTCATGTTAAATGAAACTTGGTGAGATCACAAACAAAAAACGCGCCGGCGATATACTTCGTCAATGACCACGATAAAGAAGAATTTTCATTTTTGGACACGAAACGGATCTATGGATCCTTGTGTTATTAATATGTTGTTAGTGGTGGTATTCTTTTGCTGGTTGTTGTGAAAAGTCGACTTTCTCTTTAACTACTGGACCAACTGCTTTTTAACTTTCATTGATTTTTGCTGCTAGAAGGCTATTACCACAATTTTTCCTAAATTTGCTGTAAATCGTATGAAAATTGCGACGCAGCAGTGACGTAATTTTTGGAATTGGTAAAAATGTTACTCCACGCCCACTAGGAATACTTTTGTTACTAAACAATACTAGACTCAGGTACGATAGCCGTCCCATAGTTCAAACCTCATTCTATTTTTTTTAGAGCAATAACAAAATCTCAGCAACATACTCCCAATTCGCCAATAAATAGTTGACGTTTCTGATTAGTTTGGAACTGATTGCGCGACCCAAATGACAACGAATCGTCCACTTGCACTGCATTGCTGAATAGTGGTTACAGGCTCATACTCCATGTCCTAATTATACGTCATGAGTTATTAAATTAAAATCTAATGAAGAAGTGTCGACCAAGCATGCATTGGAGAGTTTCTCAACTCGGGAAGCTTTTTTAGGATAGGATAGGATTTACATATTTATCCCGGGGGAGAGGAAAGCCGATAAGACGGCTTATCCATATGGCGAACCACGGCCTCTCGTCCGGTTACCATTCCAAGTCGGGTATGGGATTAGTTTTTACTGTATTGTTTGTTTTCGGAAGCATGGACTTTTATGTTGGATTGGTCAAAGCAAAGTTATAGGTTGGGGTCGGATTCGGCGGTTTCGTTTCCAGAATGTCGTGTTAATCAGCAAGCCCGTTCTAGATTTTTTGTTTTAAGGCGTTCGATGCTCGCAAATGTGTCACGTGTATCATAGCCGGCGACTGGTGATATATTTGGCACTTCTCAAGTTATGTATTATAGCGTAGGCCTAAATCTTGTAATGTGCAACATACACACAGTAAGATACATTTTCTGAAATGAGGAAACCTGTTGTTAGTGAGTTCGATACAAAAGAGAACCCGTTGGCTGAACAGATACAAAAAACACGAACGCGTATATATAATGGTTATTTCTTGTAAAATGATAAAATACGTCAGTAGCACTAGTGATGCAAAACTCAAACATTTATAGAATAAATTCCAAACAACTTCATCAGACTTCTACTTTCATTACCAAAATGAAACTTGTCAAGTGAATAGATGAGAACCGCACAAAAATAAATGTTTCAAACACTCAGATTTATCTTTGAAGTAATATGATCTACATTTGCTTTAACTGACGAAATACCCGTTTCTCATTATTTTCATGATTCAGAAAGATTTGCAAACTCTGCAAAAATTAAATTAAATTCGTCAACGACAAAAATAAATCGAACCAAAATATGTTCCTACGTCATGTGTACCAGGCATGCACATCTCGACATAAACTATTTATGCGATTTTAGCTGCGTCGCTAACACGTTAATATTGCTAAATACGGTACAGGTGTCGTGAGTGGTATAAAATAACTCAGGCGCGTGTTGTCGCGGCAAGATGAATCCACATAATTATGCAAATCTCATTTCTGCATTGGTGTCAAATGGTCACATTGCAGCTCAGAAAATAAGAACATTTACGCATTCCGCAATTTCAACCACTGTTCTTTCATGCCAAGTCAGCCCTAGTGTTTCTAAGTTTGATCATAAAAATCAAGTATCTCACAACAATATGATTATTCATTTCCAATCTGTTTCGATGATTTTCTCCCTTTGTCAATTTGGAACTTATTTTTCCTCCCTAACTATGCATGAAACTGTTTCATAAGGTCATTAGCAAGTGTTATACTCTGACTATCGCACAGTTTGTATAGTTTATAACACGTCCACAAATATGCAATACAATAATACTAAATAAAATAAAAAAGATATTGAAAAAACTACACCATATGTAAAGTAATATGTCCTCCCGAAAATCAGCAAATTTTAAATGTTATATGGAATCATATGGAATAAGTCCGTGTCCAAATTAGTGTTTTTGTTTATATATTTTGATCAATCATAGGGTGGAAAGAGCACGAAGATAACTACTTATCATCGGATACTTTTAAAATGGTCAATAAATGAAACGTTGGAAAATTGTAATTAGAAATGAATGCTCATTGTAAAAATAAAGATTGCCAATATAAAGGCAACATCTATACAACCCATAAAAATCACGAGTGTATCATGAGAAATGATTTAATAGACAATGCTTCTTCGTTCTGTACAGCGATTCAATAGCATGTTAGCCCATCGAACAACTAATCGTGTTAATCACGTCGCACTGTATGCATCATCCGCTCATATTCATACGTCGCGCACTTGTCGGCATGTGCGACGAATTCGCATTAACAGTTCATATTAGTCAGGTGCGACATCTCGACGTGATAATATACTAATAATATACACTTGATAATAGCAAGTAACGACAAATCACTGTCGCTAATCTTTGTTTTGACACAACAAAACGCAAATTTTCTACTTTGCAATGAAAATATAAATTTACCGCAAATCTGATTCATTTCCCTCGAATTGCGACAGACTTCTACACAAATGACGAGATCTTATTCTTCACTTTCGCTTTTTGAAACAGCGTGTTAGTCACTATTGTGTCCAATGAAGTATAATTTGCATCTTGCCGATCTTGGTCACGCAAGGCCACCCTGCTTCACCCGCATATACTTACAGATTATCGATACATTTCTGACTGGACCTGATTTTGAAGGTATTTCGGAAACTCAAGTCTGTATACGACCCCTGTGTTTTATAGCTAACTGATTTCTATTTCAGATTTATTAGTTTACTTCTTTTGCACTTTTTAGCTTTTTCAAAATTTTCATCTGATTCAAAGGTGGTTCCACGTTACAATTGAACATGTTGTTCACACCGTGTCCGAGCACTCATAAAAAATTAAGAGAAGAATAATACCAGCTATCATGTATTCTAATAAGTTGTAATTTCACAAAAATAGAAAAATGTGTTTTTGATACCTTCACCCACTCTATCGAAGTTTTCAATCGTAAGCAGTCCAAAATTAAATTTTGAGGGCAAGGAGCTTTCACATACTTAATCAAACTTGGGTGAGGTGTGATGAATAAAATTCAGTTTAAAATTTGGTTCAAAATCTACGAAAGCAAATTGTAATTCAGTTATCTTGACTTCTTGTTTGAAAATATTT